GCTGTCAGTCAATGACAGGAAGAGATGGGGTTTAATTAGAGAGTACCACTAAAGCAAGATTTATCCATTTTCAGAAGAGCAAAAGAGCAAAATGGAAATAGTCAACCATTTATATATGTTGAGTCTTTTACTTCCTGAGTTTACTACTTCTGCTTCCAATAATTTACGAGAACCTCAATTGTATGCAACAATAGTGGGATGTTCCATAATATTGTCTTACTCCCTCCCCTCCTCGGCTCCTCCCCCTCTTTTGCAGTGCAATTTTCATTTGGAACATACCAAATCATTTATAGGTTTTATCACTATACAACATCCTTTATTTTCAAAACTACACATTGATTAAACTAGTCAAAGTTACCTGCAACTGAGCTATGTGTACAAAGTACAAACTACCCAAAAAAATATAATTGTCTCCTTCCTGCTGCTGATACAATATGCAATGAAATTGAGTCCATCATTATCATCCTCAATTATTATCCATTGCCTAAAGCAGGATTGAGGCAGTAAAACTGCTTTCATATTTAGTCCCATGTCTTACCTTCTTGACAAAGTTGTGTCTTTCATGCAGGCATTGCTGGAAGAGTGGGTAGCGACTCGTACATGCAGTGAGAAATATCCTACCCAGGTTCCACAAGTTCTTGAGTTCTCTTATTTATCATTATCTGTACATGAATGTTTAACATAATTATAAAGCCAAACCCATCGGCTGTCCCCTAAAGTTGGCACTAAGTTTCACTTAGACACCTCAACTGGACAATGTTCATTTCAGACACTTCATATAGGGTTCCACTATGTCATTTTAACACTTTTTGGTGACATGTCAAAGTAAGTGTGATACACTCAACAATGACGCGTGAAAGTCTAGATTTAGCCATTTTTTATTTTATTTTTTCTTCTCCATTTCTCAAGTCACCACCTCCCACCATTTTTCAAGCTTAAACTCCTTCCATGGAGGTTTGACTTTTTTATTCAAATCCATTAGAAGTTTAGGAACTGACCCATTTTAAGATTTAAATATTGAAAAAGTTTGATAATTTTAATTTTAGATAAAATACGATTTAGTAGAATAGAAGGAGGGAGAGAGAATGAGAATAGTGGCAGTGGTGGATCTCCATTTTTCTGGTGAACAAAGGCGTGGAAATATTTTTCAGATCTGAATAAATAAAGTAAATGGTGATTGAAAATTATATTTAACTCACAAATTATTGTTAAGTAAAGAATTTAAAAAATAAAAAGCAGAGAAATGACCGTCCACTTCCAAATCTTAAAACCTTTTGGGAGATGACGATCAGCAGGGGTGGTGTGGTGGGGGTGGGCCGCTTCTGCATTTTTTTTAATTGGTCAAACCTCTTTTTTAAAAGAATTATTTGGAAAAATGCCACATGTCATTGATTCATTGGTCATTTTTTATCTTTACTCAAAATTCATTAGTTAATAATTATTTTGAATACGAATGACAAATGTCGTCATTTAATTCGTTACTTTACATGTCATTCGCGAGTGTAACACACATTATATATTTTGTCTGATTGTTAAAAAGTGTCAAAACAACACAATGAAACCCTACATGAGGTGTCTAAAATGAACATCACTTAGTTAAGGTGTCTAAGTGACACTTGGTGCCAACTTTAGGGGGCTACCGATGGGTTTGCCTAATTATAATTCAAGTGGGTGGCTTTCGATATAGTAGCACATGATCTCTGCAAAGCCTGTGATACATGTTCTTATCAGTAGAAGGTTTGCCTGGGATATTTAGCATCTATTATCCACATATGCTCTTCTTTTATTTTGGTTTAAATTACTAGGAAATTGATTTTTTTGGATTTACCTATGCACATGTGTAGATAGGGCCACCTGACCTCAACTTTCTGGTACAGTGGTGGAGACCTTTTCCAATAATTAAATGTAGATAATTCAAAAAGAATGTTTATCAAAAAAAATAAAAATAATAATAATTCAAAAGGAATGTGTAAGACAGAGGGTGCAATGTCTTGTCAAAAATGATCTGTTTACTACAGCATATAAACTGTTCAAGATCTGTTTCCCTTCTATTTGGAAAGTTGAAAAACCAATTTGAAGATATACTAACCAGAGTCTATGTTTCTCCCTACTTTTCTCGAAAGCATCAGTTCTTCCAGTTATAGCAAAAGAGAATATTAAATATCTTGAGTTTGAAAACAACATATGCATACGATGTTTAAACTTGCCTATGAAGATCGCCAATTTAATGATCCTTTCATCTTTTTTTTTGTATTTTTATATATCCAAGTGAGGTTATTTTCATACTTAATTGAAGTACCATTTTGTCTTCTAGTCATCAGTTAGAGATGTGACAGTTCCCTTTTCATTATACCCATAACCACCGTCCACCACCCACCACCACTACCCCCCCTCTCTCCCCCCACAAAAAAAAAGGAACGGAAAAGGGATGGCAGTTCAATTTTGTCATTCTTGTCAGTAGCATGGACTTAAGTGCCAGAAGAGAAGTAAAGAGAACTGTGATATTTTACGAATCAAAGAAAGTTGGAACACATATCATAAAGCTCATCAATCTACAAGAAATTAAGAAAATTTTCACCCTTTGCTGTCTCTGTATCTGGCGTCAATTCTTTTTATATGTTTATGCGTGTGATATTACTAAGCACACATATGATACATAATGTACTTGTATCTGAATATTTTTTATTTTCTTATCTTGTTTTTTTAGCTGGTAATCCTCTCTTGAATTTCTTTTCAGGACAAAGATAACATGATATCTAACTTGAAGACTATACAGGACTATCTCTGTTCCTTTACCTCACAGGTATGGTGTTTGCTATCTTTCCCAACATCAACATAAAATTTGGAAATCCTTCTACATAGATATAACTGTCTGAGGATAGACGAAAATATCTGAAGAGAAATCAAGACTAATAAACCTACCAGTAAGAGCCTAATCTGCATTAAACCTACTGTAGTATCTAATGAAGCTCAAAAGTCAGAAATTCCTCCAGACTATTTATAAGTCTTCTTGGTATTGGATCCTCTTCTCTTTTGTGTTTTTCTGGTGGAAAGCAAATTCAATGAGCACAACTGTATGATGAAAGCCCTATAATCTGTGTATATACGAAATAAAAATGGCTTGATAATCAAGCAATGTATTATTATCACCCTTAAAATACCGTCATTGCAGATTTGATACGTATTCAATTTGAAAACGTTGGATGCATGATGTCCTACATTCTCCTAAATGCAGCTAGTGATGCACGATGCTATTTCAATAGTGTGTTCTTGCAGCTAGCCAGCTTGTATCTGGAGTTTGAATCTAGTGTCCGTTTCTTTCAATTCCATTATTCATATACTTTTTCATGCCTGATCGATTTGATTTGACTTTTACAGACTACATCCCATATTGACTTGTTGCGTTCTTTATTGACAGGGTTTAACAGTGGTAAACATATCAGCGACGACGTTTCCACAAACATTGGATTGGCTGCACAATCATCTTTTACAGGTAATTTGCCAATGTATTCTTCTTTCCCTGTGGTTAATTTTGTTGATTGTATTTCTTGTGGGAAAGTTGAAACCGGAGCTGTCTGATGGGTTTGCACAGTTGAAAGAGAGGTTAAGATAAGTGAAAACCATTACTTACTTTTTCTCCTGCTTTCCAGTGTATCGAGCAAGGTACATCACATGTTTCTAGGGGTAACAGTGTGGAGATAGCCAAAGACTAGATTACTGCCAGCCGCATCTCGATGATCAAGGTACTCAGCAGACTATTAAGTCTGTCCACCGCCTTATCGGGCTGGTTGGATATTTATATTTAATGGTCCGCTTTATCGGTTATCTGTTTTAAATGTACTAAACTGCTAACCTAACCGATAAGATATCGGTAGGTTTGATATTAGCTTAGCAGTTATCAGTCAGTTTATTGGTTAAATTAATAATACCTTCGTAAATGAATTTGTATTTTATCCCCTTAATAAATTATAATATCATTACTTTTAAGTTGTCTCTGCTACATGGTCTTTTGTGTAATTCATTCAGTCAAGACAATCCTGCTCTATTGGTAAGAGGTTTGAGGTGTTAAGGCCAACGTCATCTTGTACCTTATGTTTCCCAGATGGCTCCCATAATTTACATGTAGCTAGTCCCTGAATTAGAGGAATGTGTAGAATTATTAACACGTTAAATTATAAGGTTACCCTTCACACAACAGACAATTGAAAAGACAAATTGATAGTTGGTTATCATTATTTATTTTATTTTTGCTGAATTTGATTATTTTCGCAAAATGATGAACATATTCGCTATGATAATTTATATAATCGATATAGAAGAAAAATAATCAGAATATCATTTCAATGTTTGACATCAATAGTTCACGAGAAAACTTTCTTTGGCATCTTATTAATTTATTTATATTTTTCCGACCTATAATCATTTATAGTTATCCTTTTTGTTAAATAAAATATCATAGATCCAGATATGCTTGAACTCAAATGGGATATATATGGCCCTTAACCTTTGGGTTATGGATGGATGGATTAGTGCTAATTAGCAAATTTCCCTATTGACTCAAAGCTTATTAAGTCAACGACTAGAAAATTAATCAGATGCTTTTTCTAAGCAATCATGCTACCAGAACTGAACGTATCACTTAATTAGGGCCTACCGTATATCATAAGTTAGTACTCTTTGTTTGTCTTACTTTCTTTTTTAGTTCATTTGAAAAAATGTTTTTTTTTTAATTTAACGTCTTAATTTCAGCTTTTCATATGACATGGTTAAGATCATAAGATTAAATAACATTTTGGTACATTTTACATATATTTAATTTAAGATCGTAAGATTCAAAATCTTTTTTACTTTCTTAAACTGTGTCGTTAAAACCAGACAAACAAATTAAAATGAATTGAGCATCTACATTAGAGTATGGTATAGGATCGTTTGTGCAACAAGCTAGCAAGTACAATTTTTCAGAGCTGACCAAATTTAAAGGGCACTTCCAAAAAAGAGAATTAAATCTCGTCATCCCAAAGTTCCTGGATGGTCCTGTATGGGCTTGTAGTATGATTAGATAGCCATTCTCCCCTCATAATCTTCCTCTCCTCGATTTTATTTATGTCAATTAAATCCCATTCATCTAATTTCAAATGAAGAGATCCCATATTCTCTTTCATTCTTCGCATATTAAAGCTCTTCACTATCACACTTGATCCTTGACACAATCCCCAACTTAGAGCAACCTAAAAAATTCATCAACATTAGTTATTTTCGTTCTAGTCATCCAAAAAATTAAATGATTTGCTTGTTTGAGACGCGCGTTTAATTTCTTACTTGAGCTGGAGTTGCATCATGCTTTTGGGCAATGGATTGTATGATTGGATGATCAACCACAGTAGTAGTCCCCCAAGCATTTCCAGGACCACCAAGAGGTGAATATGCACTTACATGAATTCCATATTCCCTACATATTGATCTCAACTTACGTTGCCTCCACATTGGATGCATTTCCACCTATAGTTAACCACAAAAAACACATCATCAGAAAATATTACAAACAAAAATTAAATTATTTATTTATTCGTATGTAACAGTCCAGCCCGTTAGTAATACTGTCCGCTCTACCTGATTGACAACAGGAGTGACACAAGCAAAATCTAGAATGTGTTGTATTTTTGTTGAAGAAAAATTGCTGACGCCGATGGATCTACACAATCCCATCTCTAAACACCTCTCCATACCGGACCAAGTATTTTCCATGTCTAATTCCTCAAAGTCTTCTTCTGCGGGAATTGGATAGTCCACCCATGGCTTCAAAGCCACTGGCCAATGCACTAAATACATGTCTATGTATTCCATTCCTAGCCTCCTGTAAATGTAAAGTTCAAAATTATATTATTTTCAAATATAGAAATGTATCATTCCTCACTAATAACAAAAAAATGTAAGTCAGCGCGCTTACTGTAGAGTTTGTTGAAGGGCAGTAACAGGATCATGATGATCACTTGACCAAAGTTTAGAAGTGACATGAATATCTTCCCTTTCAACCAACCCATCATGAATCGCTCGTCTTAATGCATTTCCCACAGCCACCTCTGAACCGTATATTTTTGCGGTATCAAAATGTCTATACCCCATCTATACGTACAGATAAAACGTACTATTAGACTAATTTCATACACAACAAATTGCGATAAAAGGTAATTGCAGATAACTATATTTGAAAAGTTACCTTGATGGCGGTTCTAATGGCTGTCTCAGTTGTTTCTCTATCGTTTTCGCCTGAATAAGTACCCATACCTATAATTGGTAATGTTTCACCATTGTTTAGTATTGTCTGATAATTTCTCATCTCTCTCTTTTTTTCTCTCACTTTAATTAATTTGTGTTGATGCATGAAATGAATTTAGAGTGGGTTTATATAGTTTGCGTTCCTCACCAAAAAGTCAATAGCTTTCAGATGTGACGGTGCGATACATGATGATACATTATTAAATACAAATTCGTAATTAATAATCAGCAGATTTTATTTGTCTCAATATCTGGAGGACGGCACAACTGGCACAAATCACTTAATTAAATTGATAAATGTTATAGTACAATTTTTTTATTTGGATTGAAGAGAAAGTGTCAAGCCGCTGACTTGCATCTTGAATTTTTTTTTTTAAAATATGGTTGACGACCGCCCATTTTAAATTTTAATTAAAAATGGTGCAGTAATAAAGTCAAATGGCTCAAAACTAGAATTATAGGGAGACCCCCCTTTGTTCTCTTCCCTAACAGAGAATGGACAGATGAACCCAAAGAGCAGTCTAATATTTTAAAGTTTGACAAGAAGTTTGATTTATTAATACTAATAATAAAATAATAACAATAATACTAACTAATAAAAAGTTGAGTAAACAAAAACTTGAGTTGACTCTAAATTAACATGTACATATAATTAATAAGACATATGGAAGACAATATAATTGGGATGGTAAGGTGAATGAGGAATTTGTTTCAAGGTACCTATTGATGCGACTGGCGAAGCAAAATCATATGATAGTGTCAACAACTTTATTAAGATCCAACAAGAACTATCAATCATTTCTGGACAGATTTGAAGAAGAAGACAAGAGGGGAATACTTCAGATTACTTTAGACGGACACACTATATTTTTTAGTTCATACATATATCAAATGAAGTTTGAGGTGGATAACTCATCTTTATTCTTAGCTTTTATATTCTTGCACTACTTAAGCATCTTCATTTGTAATATCATCATAGTGAGTATTATAAACTCCGTGATGATCATAGAATACCTAGTTTTCTCTAGTTCTTATTTTCTTCATGCTTGTTAATTAGTAGAGACTTGTTATCTCATTGGGAATGGTAAGATAAGGCTAGTCCCTCTTGCTTATACTTAACCCTATGGGCTATGGATATCTTTTTATATTTAATAAAAGACCGCTAAACGCTCAGTGCGGTAAATTTGCTAAAAAAAACATGTACATATAATAGTCCGTGAATGGCCTTGATCAATTTTTTTCTGAGTGCCGCCCTCCCGTCTATTTTAATTAGGGAAAATTACACCATTCCGCTCTCTGCTTTACAACAAAATTAACCCAACTTTTAAAATTAAAGTAATTGACCGCTCTCTACTTTACAACAAATTATTTTTTTGGCATAATACATAGAAATGACCCTTAATTTGACGTCAGTTGACAACTATGACCTTTAACTTTGAGTGTGCACAAGTAGACACTTAAATTTGTATAAAATTGAGCAAATGGACACATTCATCCTACATGACACCCTACATGAAAATTTTGTGTCCTACATGGCGTCCTATGTGTATTGTGCCATGTACGGCACTTGTGTCTACTTGTGCACATTCAATGTTGGAGGGCATAGTTGTTCGCTAAAGCCAAGTTAAGGGTCATGTATTAAAAGTACTCTTAAAAGTACACTTTAATATTCAACCGTTTAATTTGTTTTGAATATTAATTTGCACTGAAATGGTATCTTTTTTTAAAACAATTAAATTAAATTAAAATAACCGTGGCTGCATCGATCCTTCACTTTATTTGAAGTCAGAATATTAAACGGTTTGGAAGTAGTTATCCATTCCAGCGACCACAAAATAAATCTCTGGCTACTTCTACTTCTAGCCTAGTGAGATACTCATCATGTGCTGTGTACAGATTCAGCTATGTTTAGCCTTTGGGTTATGAAGGGCTAGATTAATTAATAACTTGCCAATTTGTTTTAAGTCAACTATTAATACAATAACATATCTTATCACATGTAAGGTCCGGAAAAAGTAATGTGTATGTAAATTTTATTTGTATTTTATAAAGATAAAAATATTGTTTACGACAGATCTCAAATTTTAAGTCAACCGTTACAAAATAAAATTAATTAATGGGGGCACTCTCTTTAAGTAATGATGCGATCGATAATGAGCATTGTATTAGTTGCAGTTAGAGGTGTCAAAAACCAAAATGTATTAACGTGCCTCTAAGTCAAGCAATTTTTATTTTGGATCCTTGTACTTTTGTTATTCTAGTTCTAACAATTTGAAGATAGTTTTCCCTATGACATCCACATCAATAACGAACATCTTTACTTAATCCTAATTTTGAAATATTCGATGGCAAAGACATTCCTTGATGATGTGGAAAGATGGAATTCTTTTTAAGACGATTAAAGTTGGCATATGTTCTTGAGAAATCTTGTCCTGAGGCTCCCAGTTCTGAGAAGCAATGGACGCCTCTACTTTGATTAAAGAACAAATTGCCAAATGGCAAGATGATGATTAATTATGCAAGAATTATATTCTTGGAGGAATGTCCAATAAATATTAGGGATAAGGGTCTAAAAAATATCCCAACTTTGATCGAATTTGTTGTTGCGATACTAAACTTTCATGAGGACCTATTACCTCCCTAGACTATTTAATACCGTATTTTAAACATATATATTTGTCCACGTAGACATAAAAAATAATACCAAATTATAAATAGTAATGTGTCCACGTGGGCACATATATATTTTTAAAATACACTATTAAATTGTATAGGATCTTTTATGCAACTAGCTAGCAAGTACATTTATGTTGTATCTTTATACAAATTTTCAGAGCTGGCCAAATTTAAAGACCACTTCCAAAAAAGAGAATTAAATCTCGTCATCCCAAAGTTCCTGGATGTTTCTATAAGGGCTTGTAGTATGATTAGACAGCCATTCTCCTCTCATAATCTTCCTCTCCTCGATTTTATTTATGTCAATTAAATCCCATTCATCTAATTTCAAATGAAGAGCTCCCATATTCTCTTTCATTCTTCGCATATTAAAGCTCTTCACTATCACACTTGATCCTTGACACAATCCCCATCTTAGAGCAACCTAAAAAAATCATCAACATTAATTAGTTTCGTTCTAGTCTTCCAAAAAATTAAATGATTTGCTTGTTTGAGACGCGCGTTTAATTTCTTACTTGAGCTGGAGTTGCATCATGCTTTTGGGCAATGGATTGTATGATTGGATGATCAACCACAGTAGTAGTCCCCCAAGCATTTCCAGGACCACCAAGAGGTGAATATGCACTTACATGAATTCCATATTCCCTACATATTGATCTCAACTTACGTTGCCTCCACATTGGATGCATTTCCACCTATAGTCAATCACAAAAAAAACACATCATCAAAAAATATTACAAACAAAAATTAAATTATTTATTTATTCGTATATAACAGTCCAGCCCATTAGTAATATTGTCCGCTCTACCTGATTGACAACAGGAGTGACACAAGCAAAATCTAGAAGGTGTTGTATTTTTGTTGAAGAAAAATTGCTGACGCCAATGGATCTACACAAGCCCATCTCTAAACACTTCTCCATACCGGACCAAGTATTTTCCATGTCTAATTCCTCAAAGTCTTCTTCTGCGGGAATTGGATAGTCCACCCATGGCTTCAAAGCCACTGGCCAATGCACTAAATACAAGTCTATGTATTCCATTCCTAGCCTCCTGTAAATGAAAAGTTCAAAATTAAATTATTTTCAAATATAGAAATGTGTCATTCCTCACTAATAACAAAGAAATGAAAAGAAAAAAAAATATAAGTCAGCGCGCTTACTGTAGAGTTTGTTGGAGAGCAGTAACAGGATCATGATGATCACTTGACCAAAGTTTAGAAGTAACATGAATATCTTCCCTTTCAACCAACCCATCATGAATCGCTCGTCTTAATGCATTTCCCACAGCCACCTCTGAACCGTATATTTTCGCGGTATCAAAATGTCTATACCCCATCTATACGTACAGATAAAACGTACTATTAGACTAATTTCATACACAACAAATTGTAGATAACTATATTTGAAAACTTACCTTGATGGCGGTTCTAATGGCTGTCTCAGTTGTTTCTCTATCGTTTTCGCCTGAGTAAGTACCCATACCTATAATTGGTAATGTTTCACCATTGTTTAGCGTTGTCTGATAATTTATCATCTTTCTCTTTTTTTTCTCTCACTTTAATTAATTTGTGTTGATGCATGAAATGAATTTAGAGTGGGTTTATATAGTTTGCGTTCCACCAAAAAGTCAATAGCTTTCAGATGGGACGGTGCGGTACATGATGATAGATTATTAAATACAAATTCGTAATTAATAATCAGCAGATTTTATTTGTCTCAATATCTGGAGGACGGCACAACTGGCACTAATCACTTAATTAAATTGATAAATGTACTAATACAAATTCTTTTATTTGGATTGAAGAGAAAGTGTCAAGCCGCTGACTTGCATCTTGAATTTTTTTTTAAAAATATATGGTTGATGACCGCCCATTTTAATTTTAAAAAATGGTGAAGTAATAAAGTCAAATGGCTCTAAACTGGAAATATAGAGAGACGCCTTATTTTTGTTTTGGGGAGATTTGATTTCGTAGTCTTAAGAAAAAATTATTTTTAATTTTACGTTTTTTTATAAGAAATTTTTATTTATAATAGATTTTTATTTTTATGTATAATATTTTTTTAAAAAAAAAAGAGATATTTTTAAGTTTTAATATATAAATGGTGATAAGAAATTATTTTCCCCGAATAATCATGCCAACAGTGAAACAAGAGCAGCTGAACTCAAAGAGCAGTCAGTATAAGGTTTGACAACAAGTTTGATAAATTAATACTACTTAGTAAAATAATAACCAATAATTAAATGTTGAATAAACAAAAGCTTGAGTTGACTCTAAACACGAACATAGGCAGTGAATGGCCTTAATCTCCCTTCCCCCCAACCACCCCAATTTTTTTTCTTCTTTTTTTTAATTATTGTGTTTTCTAAAAACAATTTATCTAAAATAGTTATCGTACTTTTTCTAGCTCA